ATTATATTTATAATTATTTATAATTAAATTTAGTAATTTATATAATTATGCACAGAAAAAAATGTTACGATTACCACATCGGAAATAATGATAATTTTCGCCCATCAATATATTTGTTACGGTTATAACCGTAAAATGGTTGGTGATAACCATAAAATGGGCATATCTTAACAGCCATAACCGTTAAGATATATACTAATCTTACAGTTATCTCAATCATACTATAATTCTTATAACCAAAAAATACATGAATGGATGACTTTTAGTCCTGACAACCGTAGCCATTTTCATATGATTTTAAAAAGTTATGGCATTGAGTGAACACGAGACAAGAATAGAGAGAGTGTTAAAAGAATAGAGGAAATGTAATAAAAAAAGAGATCTTTGTAAGATCATGTTCATTTTGTGAGAATGGAATCCCTTTTGTCGAAAGCGAGATTCTTCAGAATTAAGGCAAAGTTGACGAGAGAGCAAATAAATTTCTCAGCACAATAGAAAACTACCAAGGAGACTACGAGAATGATTTCAATGACTCATTCAATTAGAATCTTTTCATCGGGAATTAAAATCTATGAGCTTCCTTTTGCTGACGGTTTTGATTTGTTGTTGCAGAATGGAGGAGTCGTCACGAAATTTGTTGCAACATAAGCACCGAGCCGAACAGCTGAAGCAGGAGAAAACGGCGCTTACACTGTCCTACGAAGTACGTAAGACTTGTTTGATCCTCACAGATTGTTAAGTAATTCGCTACATTTTAAATCTTATCTAAATATTTTTTAAATATTTTCTTCATATAAACAAAAATATTATGAGTCCGACACTTATGGCACACATATCAATTTATAATTATATCTTTATTAGATGCTTATTAGCATAAAAGATTATTAAATTGCTTGAGTATAACTATAAATTATTAGATATATGCGCCATTAATATTTAATAAAGTAATATTATTCTGCTTCTGCTCATGATGGCATGGCATTTCAAGATCGAAAAAAAAAAATTTCGGCACACGATATGCAGAATCAGATATATACATAAATTCACACAAGAAATATTTAAGTACTAAGATCTCACTTTTATTGAATATATGAATTTTTATTTAATTAGATTTATTCTCTTGATCTAAAAATTTGTATCACATAATTTATTATAATTATATTTTTTTTAAATTCTTAAAGAACCATAAAAGTAAAGATGACCATAAAAGTAAAAGAAATAGAAAAATACTTTGTCTTATTTCAGTATTGGAATTATGAATAGAAGAAATGTAATAACCTAGGAAAATTAGATCTTTTAGAGATAAAATTGTCATAAAAAATTTGTTTACGAGAAGTTGTTTGAAATGACGTATTATACTAAAGTCCTGATCGCCAGCGGACTTGGAAAACTTTCCAACTTCAAAAAGCTGATCAAAAATACGGTTTTTCAAAAATATCTCAGAAAGTATTCATTTTATTAAAATAAAATCATTATTAAACAGAAAGCTGATAAAGTTACGAATAATTTTGTTTTTTTTTTTAAGGTCGTTCGATTAATATTTTCCATGATAGAATTTAATTAATGTTGTATTACAAAAATTCGAAAAAAAAATGTTACAATTTCCTAACTTAAAAGTAATAACAGAGATAAAAGACTCGAAAGAATAAGCGCTGTTCAAGTTACGCAAATTGTTCAAGAATATCTCTCAATATTCAAATTAAATTTATTGAAGAGACCATAGAACAAACATAATCATTAAAATAATAAATTCGTTTTAACGTTTCGTTTAGTTTTCTAACCTTCTTCAGCGAAAAATATACACAAAATGTTTATACATAATTAATATTGCTTGTTATCTACGCACAAAATTGGAAAATGTAAATCTATTCTTTGCAGTCTCCAGGGAAGCCAAACTAAGTTCTTTGTCCAGAATACATTCTCCCATGCCAGTTACAAAGCTGGACGGAAATCACAAAGTTGATGCTTTTAATAACAAAATTTAAAAAATTAAATATTTTAGCATGGAAAAATGAATGTACAAAAAACCCATAATGAAAACTGCAAGAACTTAATGTAAACTGGTAATCCAAAGTCTTGATAGTAAAGATGTCAAACAGTTAAAGATTTTTTAGTCAAATAATATAAAATAATATTATAAAATAATAAATGAAATGTACAGTACGGAAAACGTGTCGACTATACATCGTCAAACAGTAAAATGAGATAATTCGAAAACTCGCCGATCGTTTAAAAATTAAGTTTGATGTCAATAATAAAAACAAACTAAAATTAAAATTAAAATAATTTTCAAACTATTTATTCAAACTAAAAATTAAAATAATTCAAATATGCTTGGTTTAGCAGTTCTGTATCTGTTTTCAAATTTATGCTAGTATTCTGTTGTTGTATTGGGTTATCCGTACCGACTAACCTATATAATTTAATAAATGTAAACTAAAATTTAAATCTTCTGCGTTTCAATTTTCAACATCGGCACGAACTTTCCAGACCAACTTTCCAACCCAATATATTGATCATCTGATATCAATCTCTTATTATAATTCCGCTTATTATTCAATATTTTAATGTCTTCCCAACAGAAATCATAACTATGATCCGTAATTACCGAATGTGTTATTGTATTCTATTAATATGAGATCTATGTTCAGAGATTCTCGTTTTCAATTGCTTCCCTGTTTGTCCGATATAAGTTGCATCACAGTCTTTACAAGAAATTTTATAGACGTTCTTCTTACAACTCACGGATAATGGAAAGTTTATAGATGACGTTCTTCTTATAACTCGCGGATAATGAATCTTTTTGCGATAATGTTACTCAATTTATTCATATTGTAGAAAGATACAACGGAAACAGTGTCTTTGATGATGTTTCTAAATTTGAAAATAAATGAAATAAACTTGAAAATAGACAGAACTGCTAAACCAAATATATTTGAATTATTTTAACTCTTAGTTTGTTTTTATTATTGACATCGAACTTGACTTTTAAATGATCAGCGAGCTGTCACGAATTGTCTCATTTTACTGTTTGACGATGTATGGTCGACACGTTATTCCATACTATTTTTTAATTATTTTTTATTATTTCATTTATTATTTTATAATTTGACTAAAAAATCTAATGTGACATCTTTACTATCAAGACTTTGGATTAACAATTTCCATTATGGATAAGTTTTTTTATACAGTAATTTTTCCATGTTAAAATATTTATTTAATTTTGTTATTAAAGATAATTTTATGATTTCCATCTAGCCTTGTAACTGGCATGGGAGAATGTATTCTCGATAGAGAATTTAGTTTGGCTTCCCTGGAGACTGCAAAGAATAGATTTACATTTTCTAATTTTATATGCGTAGATAATGAGCAATATTAATTTATGTATATTTTTTTGCGTATATTTTTCGCTGAAGAAGATTAGAAAACTAAGAAAACGAATTATCGTCATTATTTTCATTATTATCATTTTAACGATTATGTTTATTCTACGGTTTCTTTAATAATTTAATAATTTAATTTGAATATTGAGAGATATTCTTGAACAATTTGCGCACTTTGAACAGTGCTTATCCCCTCGAATCTTTTTATCTCTGTTATTAATGTAGTTTTTGGTTATTTCGAAAATGAAATGATTTTTCATAAATATCTTAGATCTGGCTATTTTTACGTACAAAATATTTCTTATAAAAATTGAAGGTTACTGAATTCCCTACAAAATCGTTTTTATTCATCCTTGTATGTACAACTAAATAGTTTCCAAAACATTTTATGAATATTTCCTTTTACTTTTGATCAAAACTTTTTTAATCTTTTATGTAAATATCTCGATTCGATTATTCCTACATAAAAACTTACTCACTTACAATATTATCGAATCGAAAAGTTTTTAAATTCTCTATAAAATCGTTCTTTATTGAACTTCGATGAATAATTGCCGAAATATAAATAAATTTTTCCAAATTGTAATACATTTCAATGAATAACTTGTGACTTATCGTATGCGAAAAATGTACATAAACAGTAAACTCAAAGCTTTTGGAATTAGCTTGAAATTTTGTTTAGCTTCGTGCGATCAGTTCAATAGTTCCTGAGAGATATAGTATTTTAAAGATAATATGGGACCCTCAATTTACGTTAAAATATGAGTTTACTTATCAATACAGATATATAATCGAATTGAAAAAAATAATATTCGCATTTTTCTCAAAGTTTATATCCAATCCTAGTTATGTATAACTCTCAAAAATGTATTTTTGAGAAAATAATTTCAAAAACAATTGCCTTTTTTCTACATTTTTAAAAAAAAAAACATGTTTTCCGTAACTTTTTATATATAAATATCTCTTAGTTTTTAAAGGACTTACGTAAAAAGTAAAATATATCACAAATTAAAGCTTATAAAATTTCCTATAATATGCTTCTTTTTCTTCTTTTTCTGTCAATTTTTATTTAAGATATAATTATTGAAGAGTTTTCTGCGACGATTTTTTGACTGAAAATTGGTCTATAAACTATTAAACGATCTGGAATAACGACACTTTCTAATCTCTTAACAGATAATATTCCCTTGAATTTGGCGGTCGATTTATATTTTTATTTTATATTTTTTATCAATAGTTTCGGAGATATAACTTCAAGAAGTACGGATTTATTTAGACCACTAATTCTGATAGTACCTAATTGTTGATATCGCAAAGTAGAAATATAATACGTCGTTGAAAGTAAGTCACTCGCAGATTGACAGAAATGCAGTAATCAATACGCTCAACGGGAAACAAAGCAGTTCATAAACATTGATTCACAATTTTCATAAGATATAAATTAAAACAAATTGTTCCTTAGAATATCTAATATTTAATATTGTGTCAATTCATCTTGACGTATCGTTTGAAATGTCGGTTGCAATTTTATTATGTGATACTAATCTTGTATTGGAAGATTGAAATTAATGTGCCACTGGCTAATTAATGATTATCCATTGATTTAGATTTAGAGAGTAATCATGAAAATGTGAATATTAACTCTCAATACACAACCTAAAATAATCCCTATGCATATACAACGGATATTTTTAATCTAACATTTTCTTTTGCTTGTATCTCGGATTATAATGCATCGATTTTACTTTATTTTTTTTTTAATTGATAGTTTAAAGACTGAAAAACAAGAATTTTTTGGCAAGAGAGTCGAAAAAAATTACAAAATTTTGAATAATTTTGCAATAAATAAAAAACGTGCAACTTTGAAAATTAGTTTTGTTATTCCGTTATGTACTCGTATACTGAAGATTAAGATTTTTAGGGTCAAATACAATGTAAAAAATTCAAAACAGCAGATCCAAAATAGAAAAATTCGAAATAATTAATAATCAGCAAATCAATATATATTTATAAGATTTTCATAATTTGTATTTTTGTGCTACAAAATAGCTGTTGAAAAAATGGCTGACGGATAACATAAACTAATTATAAATTATTTTTTTAATTTGGCTCCTCAGCTGGAGTTGACAATACTGAAATATAAAACAGATGAATATATGAAACAAATTAGTAAAAATAAGTCGTTTATGATGTGATTCTTTTGTGATCTATTAATTCGCTGATATTGCTGGCATTTATTAATTTCTCGCCTGAAGTCTTCTCAGTATCATCGTTGGCATCGATCGGCGTCGACGACGCCGGATGACGTCGAATGAATTCG